TTTTAAATAATTATTGTTTTGGACAATTATTTTGTACGTATTAAATAAGTATTTTTATTAGCATTTTTAAATAAATATTTATATGTTTTAAGAGAAGGTTGATTTTATATGATATTTTGTTATTGAAATTTTATTATTATATTTTGGGTCAGAAATATATTATTATTATAGAGGAAAAATATTTTATAATATACATGTATTTATTTTATTTAATTATTTTGAGGAAAAAGAGAAGTGGGTTAGGAGAGAAGGAAAATGGGTTGGGTTGACCCAACCCAATGGATTAATTTTAAGAAAAGAGTCAGGTAGCATTAACCCTATCTGTCTCATTTGCGTTCTGGAGGGTTAGGGAAAAAAAGAGGAGAAACAAAGAGCTCTAAGGAAGAGTACTCAAGAACGATCTTAGATCACACCACCATTTGTCTTCTGCTCATCCAGGTAAGGGGAGAGTGAGAAACCTCGCTTTGGGTGTGGGAATATATGTTGGGTAGTGGGATTGACCCCCAATCCTGTGTTTGTTGTATTTGTTGTATCCTCATGTATGAGGAGTTTTTCCCAATTGTATCTGTTTCATCTATTGTTCCTATCGTATGTAATTAATTCTATAAATTTCTTGAATGAATGATTAATTTTAGTTTTAAAATTGTAATTGTATGATTTGAGATTTCTGTGGACCCCTACGGGAAACCTTATGAGAAAACGGGCAAAATATGAATGTTTTCTGTTTTGCCTTCTGATTGCTTTGTTGTGTTCCTTGTTGGATGTGATGCATGAGTATGTGGTTAATTTTGAAAATGAATATGTTTTTATATGAATTAGAGTGCTCTGTGGGTTCCTATGGGAAACCCTATGAGAAAACAGGCAAAATTTGAATGTTTTCTGTTTTGTCTTCTGATTACTTTGTCGTATTCCTTAATGTTTGCAGAGTGTAAATATGTGTTTAATTTCGCAATTAGATGAGTTTTAATATGGATTAAAGTGCTCTGTGAGAATTGTGAATATAATGTGATAATGTGATAATGTGAATATGATGATGGAATATGAGGATGAAATGTGACGATGAAATGTGATGATGAGATGTGATAATAATAATATGTTATGAAAATGCATAGAGTCCTGATTGACATGCATCATGTGCATAAATGTTTTTAAGGGTACGATATAGAATACACTACCAGAGAAGGCCCCTAATGTAAAAGGTTTGGGGATTAGTCCTTGGGGATAGCTTGGTTTGGAAGTCCTAGTCTCGCCCATTGTATGCATGGGATGTATCTTGCGCGGCTTAGCTATCCCGACGAGACTTTGGTACTATGTCCTTCTAGTGAGAGTGCGGAGAGGGTGTGACCCGGCATGTACTCCTAGACTACTCTTCGTGTATTGCTAGCGGCAATATGCTAGAGTGAGATGTTTCTCACTCCCTTTTCTTGTGTTGTTTTTCCTTGATTGTCTTATAGGTGATTATCATAATGAGGCTGAAGATATTGGTGATGAAGCTTAGGATTCTATATTGAGATTTTCTCTGATAGGACATGTGACATCGGGCGTAGATAAGATTACATTAAGATGTTTATATTAAATTATTTTGGAAACTTTAGTTTTATTTCTTTGTAATTTTCGCTGATTTTGTTAAGTTATGGATGTGGTATTCTCTATCTGAATACGTTTGATATTTTTTAAAAAAAAATGAAAGACTGTGTTATTTAAATTTTATTATTTGTATTATGATATGCGGGGTAGAGGGTGTCACATTTTCTCCACGTAAGTATGTGTGTGAATTCGAGCTCTACTGTCAATAATGTGCATAAATGTTTTTAAGGGTACAATATGGAATACACCGCCAGAGAAGGCCCCCTAGTGTAAAAGCTTTGGAGATTAGTCCTTGGGATAACTCAGTTTGGAAGTCCCAGTCTCGCCCATTGTGTGCATGGGATGTATCTTGCGCGACTTGACTATCCTGACAAGACTCTGGTAGTATGTCCTTCTAGTGAGAGTGCGCAGAGGGTGTGACCCGGCATGTACTCCTAGACTACTCTTCGTGTATTGCTAGCGGCAATATGCTAGAGTGAGATGTTTCTCACTCCCTTTTCTTGTGTTGTTTTTCCTTGATTGTCTTATAGGTGATTATCATAATGAGGCTGAAGATATTGGTGATGAAGCTTAGGATTCTATATTGAGATTTTCTCTGATAGGACATGTGACATCGGGCGTAGATAAGATTACATTAAGATGTTTATATTAAATTATTTTGGAAACTTTAGTTTTATTTCTTTGTAATTTTCGCTGATTTTGTTAAGTTATGGATGTGGTATTCTCTATCTGAATACGTTTGATATTTTTTAAAAAAAAATGAAAGACTGTGTTATTTAAATTTTATTATTTGTATTATGATATGCGGGGTAGAGGGTGTCACATTTTCTCCACGTAAGTATGTGTGTGAATTCGAGCTCTACTGTCAATAATTTTAGCCTTTTTAAACAAAGGAGGTGTAATTGTAATAAAAAGGAGGTGTATATATCATAAGTTAAATACTATGAACATCTTAGAGTAAATTAAAATCAAAAGATAATAATTTTTTTAAATTACTAAAAGATATTTCATTTTATAATTGTTTCACAAATTCTTACTAATTTTTGTATAAGCCAATTGCTTTTAAACAATGAAACTAGCACGATTATATCAATTGAATTGAATGGTTAAGTCTAACTTTTAAAATAAAAATTGAAATAAAATAAGATTCATGAAAATAATTTCAAAATATATTAGGTAAATAATTTTTGGTTAGGGAAAAAAAGAGGAGAAACAAAGAGCTCTAAGGAAGAGTACTCAAGAACGATCTTAGATCACACCACCATTTGTCTTCTGCTCATCCAGGTAAGGGGAGAGTGAGAAACCTCGCTTTGGGTGTGGGAATATATGTTGGGTAGTGGGATTGACCCCCAATCCTGTGTTTGTTGTATTTGTTGTATCCTCATGTATGAGGAGTTTTTCCCAATTGTATCTGTTTCATCTATTGTTCCTATCGTATGTAATTAATTCTATAAATTTCTTGAATGAATGATTAATTTTAGTTTTAAAATTGTAATTGTATGATTTGAGATTTCTGTGGACCCCTACGGGAAACCTTATGAGAAAACGGGCAAAATATGAATGTTTTCTGTTTTGCCTTCTGATTGCTTTGTTGTGTTCCTTGTTGGATGTGATGCATGAGTATGTGGTTAATTTTGAAAATGAATATGTTTTTATATGAATTAGAGTGCTCTGTGGGTTCCTATGGGAAACCCTATGAGAAAACAGGCAAAATTTGAATGTTTTCTGTTTTGTCTTCTGATTACTTTGTCGTATTCCTTAATGTTTGCAGAGTGAACCCTTCTGTCACTATTTTAACCAAGAATTATTATTTTAGCGACCGATTTAACAACCGATTATTTGCCACTAAAAAAGTCGGTCGCTAATTTGGTCGCTAAATAAAATTTGAAACCAAATCAGATTCGGTCGCTAATTACACTACTACAAGATGTATATTCTACATCGATTCTCTAAAGTCGACATCGGTTCTAAAACTGATGTAGAATAGAGCGACGTATAAAATGTATATTTTTTACATCGGTTCTGAAATGTAGATTTAAGCATAAATCTACATCGGTTCTCCAGAGAACCGATGTAAATTGCATTTTTTTTTATAAAAAAAATCATGCTTATTTTTGGATTATTTATAATTACCCGTAATTAAATACAAATTTATGCTCCTTACATTTGTTTGCTAATAGGAGATAAATTTATAGTATACATAAAGCAAATAGGAGGTGTATTATAGTAACATCTCATACTCCCACCAGCAAGCCTTTCCCTATGGATAACAAAATTAATAGCTTACAAAATCATCATTGCTAAATTAGAGTGCACAGATTCTTTTGACAAGATATAATAAACTACATTAAAGACGCCTATAAAAAAGATGCCATACATCCACTCAGTACACTAACAATTCTACTAGACTTCTTTCTGTTTCCTTCCCTTCAAATCTGTGACGCCTTTCTCAAGTTGCAATAAAGTAGGAAATATAACCGCTGTTTATCAGAAAAACATTATTTTTATGTTAATCATCATGAACATAAACATGGAGCCAGTAGCACCCTGGGAGCAAAAAGCAAAAAGCTATATAATGAAATTAAATCTACAAATAGATTACGTCTCATAGTATTATTCCTTTCATACATTGACATAGTATTATTCCCATTCTCATACGTCTGCATAAATGTTGAAGGAAATATTATGAAATTAAATCTATAAACAGATTACGAAAATTTCAGAATAAGAAATGGAAAATTAGGAAGGAAACAAAAGAAGAAAATAACATTTAAACACAGAAATATATGGTGCTCTACTAAAGCATTGAATATATATAACATATTTAGTGTTAGAAAGTTAGGAAATTCTTTTAATTTATAACAGAACATCCTAAATTACTTCTAAGGATTAGATTATGTTAGATTATCTTTAGGACTAGTTTCTTATCCTAGAATATCTCCTAGGATTACTTTCATATTTCTTAGTAGTTTAACGATTGCTTCCTTATTTTGGCATTTCCACCAAGTGATTCTTGGAGTAAGCGTGTTAAACAAGAGTCACTGTGTGGTGATGAACTTGGCCATTAATTAGTGAAAGAAGCAACTAGCTCACAAGTACCAGGACAAGGATACTGCTCCACAAAGAATAAAAGAAAATATTACATTAAATAAATGGAATTTTGACAAGACTTTGTCCACAACATTTATCTGCTGCTCAGCCAGGGGGTGACTGCAATTCAAAAAAATAATTAACGAAATCCAAAGTCAACACCACTAATTTCACTAACTTTCTTTTCGCTAAAAATAAAGTTCCTCACAGCAGTTTCACTTGTATGTATATAACCTAATGTCAACCACATGCACCAAGAGTGATGACTCTCCTATCTCCTCCAATGTAGCTCTGAAGGCAGCAACCTACAGAAATCAGAAGAAGGTGGTTTTCAATGATTACTTCATAATTTGGGCTCTTGGGCTCAACTTATTCAACATGTTAAGTTGATAGTAAACCATGTTTTAAAAAAAATAGAAAACTTCAAAAGCATAATTTTTGTCAAACATCAAGGGAAAAATTGATTGTAAGAGAGTTATCTTTCTTACTAGTGTAGTAGGTAACTTCTGAATAAAACCAACAGTGTCAGTTAGGAGGAACTCCTTTCCATTCTTCATCTGGATTAAAGCAAAGGAGAAAAGCACAACATGTTACAATAATCATAATTTAAACCACACAAGATTTATTTTACTGCAGGATTTATCTCCTTGTAATAGGGAGGGCTATAAAGTGAGAAAGTAAGGGTCTAATAACTGTTAATTTGAAGTGATTTAAATTTACAAGATACTTTAATATAAATCAATGATGTGAATAGACCTCACCTTACTTTACATATACCCTCACTTTAGAGGTGCCAAATATTTTCTTTCGGATTAAATTTTGAAAAAAAAATTTATCAAAAAATCATAATCGATGAATTTAGTCATCCCACAACCATTATCCACTGTAAAAATAGGAAATGGATATGCTACAAGGAAAAGGAAAATTATAAGCTCTTAGCTAGTTCTTTAGTTAGTAATTAGTATTTAGTAAAATAGTTGAAGATGACACCTGAATCTCACTACAAATAAGAAGCGCACACACAATAGTTGAAAGAAATAAACAATTTAAAAAAAAAATAGTTTGCATATAAAAAATAGGAAATTCTCCAAGTGTGTTTTGACTGACCTGTACCCTTCTCGTAGTTGGATTTAAAGTTGCAAATAATTTATCCCCAGCAAGAACATCTACTCCAATTAGTTGATTCAAAAGTGTACTCTTACCAGTATTTGTGTAACCAACTTGCAATGTTGTCAAAAGAATTATCAAATTGTCATTTATATGGCATACATTACAATGATGTATAAGCTGCAAAGGTCACCAAACATTAAATGGCCACAATAGAATTGTAAAAAACTAACCAAGGATACCACCGACACAGGTACTGAGAAGCGCCTATTACGATACTGCTTTCTGTGTTTCCTAACAGATTCTAGCTCTTTTTTAAGAATACCAATCTGCCAAAACCCAGGCATTAGACATTTGATGGAAAAATTAAGATTCCAGAGGTAAAGCAGATAAAACTGTGAACTATGCATAATGACATGATTCCAGTCTTACATATGTGAGAATCAACTTTTAACATTTACAGAACTTTAGTAGATAAACAAACCCCAACACATTTACACCAAAGTACATACACCTAAAGAGATAGGAGGTAGAAACCATGCTCATATGCATATAATGAAGGTTATACCTTTTGGGAATTTTTCTTTTTCCCTTCATCAGCTTCTTCACTTTCTTCACTTTCAACATATGATACCTTCCTAACTGACCTACTAGGAAGAGATGGATCTGTCGACGTGGCCGAGCATGGAGATGGTGTCGCCGAGTTGCATGAAGCCGGAGAAGGCGGCGAGGGCGTGATCTGCACCGCGAGAGACGTCGGGGACTAGGATGGCGCGTTCGAGGACGGGGACGGCTTCTTCGAAGCGGAGAGACCAAATCATTTGGTCCATTTGTTCCCCTCCCTCCGAGAAAAGCATGGTTGCGAGCGGAAGGGTTTGGGTGTGGTTGGAGGCTGACGGCGTGGGAAGAGTTTGGGTGATTGTTGGCGGCTGGGAACGTTGATGATGAGTTTTTGGGCGCGAGAATATTACGGCTTCCATTTCTACATCGGTCATAAACAAAACCGACGTAGAACAACTCCTCACTTATATTTCCTATTTATTTACATGTTTGTCATCGCGTTTATTATTTACATCGATTTTACTAGAACTGATATAAATATGGCGATGTTAAACAGTGTTTTTATAATAGTGAATTATGTCGCTATTAGCGATGGAAAAAAATTAGTCTCTAATTTCGGTGGCTAAATTGACTTTTTTTTATAGTGATATTTATACATAAAGGATTAAGTTCAAGCAATTACAACTTTAATAAAAAATTTTAACAATTTCAAAGAATCAAAATTGAATTGACAACAATGTAATAGTAAATTGTATATATTAAAGTTTAATTTAAAAATAAGATAATTGATTTTCACATACTTAAAATCCTTTAGTTATGACTTCAATTGACCCTAAATTCTCCCGATTATTATTTCTGAATTCTAAATAATTGCCTATTATTTTCAAGTGGTTAATTATGTGGTTCATAAAATTTACCCATTTTTTCTAATTTTAAATTACCAATTGTTCTTAGGTTAATCTAAAAACAAGGAAACACATGCGTAGAGAGAATATCAAATAAGAGGAGTTGAGAATTACATTGACCATGCAAATTCTTATTGAAGTTTTTATTTTAAATTTTTGGTGTGCTAACACAGTAATTACCTTCTGAGATGATTGAAAATACATTTGAAAACATAAGTAAAGGCAATATTCCCGTCTACATACGACCTAGTGAAAAATATCCATATTTTTTAAGGTCCATAGAATCATCATCATGGAATCACACTCCAACCAGAATCTATGTCCATCCACCCTATGCGCGTGCTCAATTGCTAGCATTATAGCTACCAATTCTGCATGAAGTGATTTTTGAATGCCAATGTAAGAAGCAAACCATCCCTAAAATTCCACAATACTATCATGGAAGAGACCTCCTCTAGCTGCATGCCCTAGGTCACCTCTAGCACCACTATTCATATTACATTACATAACTCCACATGTTGATAGGTGCCAATCCACCTATTTAATCATAGTAGCCCGTGGAGGACATGTAGGAGCTAAGAGACATTTCAAAATGCAAAGACTTATAAAGAAATGAGAGACACGTCCTGTGGATAGATTCCAAGAGAGAGAGACTATTTTCACAATCAAGGGGAACAAAGTTTGGAATGAAGCATGGATGTTGATGGAGGAGGCCCATGGGCCAAGGGCCCAACTACTAGGGCTATGGCAAGGAGGATACAAGAGGAGTGGGCCCAAGCTCAAGGAAAGCCCATCACATTGTTTAGTTGGGCTTTGACTCAAGCCCAAGTAGATTAGGAGTAGTGTAGGGTTGGGCCTTAGAGCCTTGTATTTCTTTTAGCCCTTGTATTTTCGTCCATTTAGATTAGGGTTTCATTTTATGGTCATTTGAATTTAGGGTTTTTTAGGTTGCATGTGTATTTGCATTAGAATGTAATTAGTTTCACATTTGGTATGCATTTCGGCCATGTGCAACACATGCACATGGTGTGACCGAAATGCAACTCAAATGGAAGCTTAATGACATTCCAAATGAGGTGCACATGGTGTGATCCGGTTTAGGCTCCAAAATTTGAATTTTGAATTCAAATTTTGGGCGCCTAAGGTTAAGTAAACCATACCATGGTTTCACTTAACCTTAGGCTAACCCAAGGTCACTTTAACCTAATTATTTCCTATAAATTCCAAGTGGCTGAGAATTGTATCACTTATGGAATAATTCATGAGATTTCTTCATCTTGAATTCTCCCTCTCCGAAAGTCACTCTAACCTAGACTCTACCCTTCTTGAGCTCCTCTCTTTGTAGAGCTAGGTTAACTTCTTCTTCTCCGGACTTAGCTAGAAGCAAGCATTGCTCACATTGGTGCTACTTGGAGTCTTCTTCCTTGACAATCTTCTAAGGAAGCCGAGAAGCATTGAAGTGTTCTTGAGATTTCATAAGTGGAATCTCATCAAGTGGTATCAAGAGCTTCGGTCTTCAAGAGATAAGTTCATCATCCTGTCTTTTGAATTTTGATCCGTGGTTCATCTTGTCCTTGTGTTCTTGTGTTCATCTTGTTCATCTTGAGTTCTTGTCACTTTAGAGTTTAATCTTTCCTAGATCTAATTTTTGCCTCAAAATTTGATGGATCTAGTATCATGTTGCTTGAATGATTCATTTATGCGCTTATGACTATTTGCTTCCATGAATCATGCTCCAATTCTTGTACCTATTAGGAATTTTCTGCCTATGAGCTTTTTGATTTGCTTGAGTGATATTTGAATTTTTATTCGGTCAATATATGTTTGAGTCATTTTATTTTGAATCCATGTCTAGAAGTAATGTGTAGTTCTTTATTGTTCATCATTCTTAGCTAAGCTTGTTTAACCTTTTCTTTTCATTTGCATTTTGAAAATATTTTCTGGATTTGGCCGAGATCCTTAGTGTTGTGTGCTCATAATTTTGTGTTTGAATTTGAGTTCATAAACTACTATTAGTTCATTAGTAGTTTTCTTAGAATTTTAGGTTTCCTATACTAGAAAATGTCTTGAAATTTTTTTCTCTAATCCGTGAGTTTGATTTGTGTGTGAGACTTGTGTGCTGAAAATTGTGTTTAAGTTTCAATTTGAAATTTGAATTGAGAGCCAAAACCGTGCATGTGCTAAACAAACATGCAAGCCTAAAAAGCATGTTGCATTTACATTTCATGTTAATCTAATTTTGTTGCCATTTGCACTTCAAATTTGAATCCGGTTTTGTGCTTACTTCTAAGTGTGACCGAGAGTGATGTTTGCATATTGTGATAAGTAAAAAGGCAATCTCCTAAGATAAAAAAAAATAGCACAAAGTTTCAAAGAAAAATGCAAAATCAAAGTGATTAAAAAAAAAGTGCTAAACCTAATTTCTAAAAGAAAAAGCCATATAAGGAGTTTTGTTTACAAAGTTTCTTCTCGGTCTGCCATTGTTCATTGTATACATGATGTTTTCAGCTTACATATCTTGAGTATTTTGGTTTTGTTAATCAATTCTAGATCCTTTCTAGGTTACTTCTTTCTTGTTCTAGCCAACTCTTGTTCTTTGTCATCTATATTGTCTTCTTCTATATTCTACTCTTGTCTTCTTTTTCTCTCAAACATCTTTGCTGTTTATGTTTACCTTGGAACTCAAATGTGACCTATGTTTGACCTAGCCTATCTCTTTAGAAGCTAGTTCTACAAGGGTCATCAAAAGAGGACTAAGAAAAGGAGGAGGAAGGAAGGAGTACTCTCGGATTTGGCTACCAAATTCTCAAACACCAAACACTTGTGGCTGGAAAATTTGTGGCTGCTGGACTTGTTACATCCGTGGAGATACTTTGGAGATTCAACTTGATTTGTAATTGAATTTTAAAAAAAATAGAAGTATTAGTGACGGATTTAGAGACCAACTTTTCATTACTAACTTGAAATTTTGTTGCAAAATTGGTCACTAATCCCTCACTAATCTTTGGTGGCTGTTTTGATTTATCTTTAAGCCACTTGTTTCTTTTGTTGTTTAGCTTTGTAATTACCTTGTAATTGGCCATTTGTAGGAGTTTCTTGGGTGTCTTTGGTACACAACCATCTCTCCTTAGGTTACTCATTTTCGTTAGAACTTGGTGAGAGTGGTCCATGATTGATCTTTGGTATCTCTCAAGCTCTCACCCTAGGACACGTTTAGATAGTTTAATTCTTGCAATTATACTTGTTTTAATTGCTTTCATTCGTCTAGTATACCTTAGTTCACAAATCACAAAAATAATTTTTCATTGAAAAAGATTTTGGTAGAGATTAACTACAAGGGGGATTAGTAATTTTTACTTGAAGAGGCTTGGTTATTAAGTGGCTCTTAGTAGCTCACCTCCCTCCAAAGTTCAATTTATATACTTAGTCCTCCAAGTATTTAGTCTTAACCTTGTAAAAAAAATTGATTTTACAACTTCTTTCTTTAAAAGAAATCTTTCTCCTATAACGGAAGAATTTTCCACTCCTCAAAGTGATAGTAATTCAAGTGATTACAATGACATGTCAAAAGTAACACATGAATTAAGATCACTTAAAATTTGGAAAGAGCAATAAGCTAAACAAAGACAAAAAGAAAAACTTGAAAGAGAAGCCCAACTTGCTCTTTTGGAGGAGGAAATTCGTTTGTTAAAGGAAAAAGAAGAAAAATTACACCACAAGCACTGAAGTAGACATAGCTCCCAAACTCATAGTTCAACCCTAGGAGAGTCAATGCATGGTGATATCCTAGCTTTAGGAGATCATTACTAACAACCTCCTAGAAGAGTTCATAGGACCCCCAAGGCAAAGGAATCTAGGGTAGATCTCCCTTATTTTCATGGCAAAGATGATGTTGAGGGGTACCTTGATTGGGAGATGAAGGTTGAACAAATCTTCACTTGCCATCAAGTGAGTGAAGAAAAAAAAGTATCCCTAGCCACTTTAAGCTTTCAGGGTCATGCAATGTATTGGTGGACTTCCCTTGTGAGGGATAGGCGTCTC